AGGCTAATTTTCAATAACAGATTGTGCTCTAGACTAGTTTTTAACAGCAGATGATACTCTAGGCTCGTTTTTAACACTTGATAGTGCTCTAAGCTAGATTTTAATGGCAGACAATGCATGTTTTTAACAGCAGATGACGCTCTAGATTTGTTTCTGTAACAACAGAAAGCGCTCTAGATTCGTTTTTAAAAACAGATGACACTCCAAGTTAGTCTTTAACAGTAAATTGTGCTTTAGGCTAGGTATTAACGAAAAACAATGTTAGTTTTTAACAGCAGATGGCACTATAGACTAGTTAAACAACAGATGACGCTCGGTTAGTTTTTAAATAGTATATTGTGCTCTAGGCTTGGTATTATTAGCAGTGCAAACACAGTGACCTGTACCACATCAAACTGTACTGAACTGAACTGAACAGCAGAAACAATCATTTAGAGCTTCTAAAGCTCCGCTAAATCCGCAATTCAGAAGTTTAAGTCACTGTGCACCACGCAAGTACAATATGGGGAGAAACATCCTGCAACTGCATTTAAAAAAAACCTTTTAACTTAAGACAGAAGAAATGAACATCTTGGATGACAAGGAGGTGAGAGAATAATTCAGAAATCCTCATTCTAGAAATGAACCAATCCTTTACGATAAAACCAAAAGCAACATGCAACAGCTAAAGGCATGACAAGTGAATGCAGCGTCTCTAAAAAGCCCAACGGTAATGTATATCGTTACATCACGCAACATTACACGGTTGATCGAATAAACATGAAATGCCACAGCAACGAAGGTTAAAAGACAAAGACAGAAGGGAAGCATCTGATTATGCAACCATCCCCTGAGTCATTATCTCCTTCCACTGGTCAGATGCAAAACCCAGACATTTGTCATTCAAATTCAGCATGGCAAGCTAGCGGCTCCACAGCAAACTCTGCTTTCCTGCTTCACACGTCTCATCAGAGAGGCCTGGAACATTTGCAAGCTACTTCACATATTTGCATTAGTGAAAATCCTGCTTTTAGTTGAGTAATGCATTTGGGCATGTTGTTTAACTGTGGCAGGTCCGCTAGCAATGCAGTGCTTTAATTTCCCTGTTAAGATCACGAACAGGTTTCCCACTCGAGTAGGCCAGTTGTTTATATACACATAAATAACAGTTTGTGATCGTGACTCATCATATACTATAGTAACACTTTTGTTACAAGTCTGAAACATTCTCAATAAGAACACATAAACACTTGCAGTCTGAGGTTTGGACACGAGCTTTATTTATTATTGCTATTTTAAAACGGCTCATTGACTGAAAGAGGTGCATTCTGGGATGCTTTTCAAACAGTACTGTTTTTATGCACAGAGTTCACCAGCACACAGGACTCATCACCTGATTTTCCTTCACTATCTAATCCTACACCACCCATGCATCCACAGATCAATACAAGACATTATTATAGTGTCCTTAAAGAGGTGATGTCGATAGTTCAGTGCACAAGAGTGTGCGGTTTCATTGCTACATGTAAATCGTTGTTGTTTACATCTCATCAGGCTGGTTTAGTAGTTGTTTATTTACTAGCTTTCATTTGAATATTTATTATAATATTAGGGTTGTGTGTTGGCAAGAGCCTCACGATATGATACATATCACGATACATAGTTCACAATACAATATATTGCGATACAATAAATATTGTGATATATTGCAACAGTTTGTATTAGTATGGGTGTCATGTTATATTGACAACTTGATAAAGTCAGCAGACGAATTAATATTCCAATTCCAATTTATTTTCTATCCATTTCAATTCATTAGAACTGCACAGTGTGATTGAACAGAGAACTCACTGAACTGTATTAAATGCATATTGTTAACGAACACTTAACTAATAAACCATTTATAAAACTAAAGTAAGTAAAAAAAAAAATATAAACATAAAACAGGAACACAGTGCCCTAATATGCGGTAAACTATTAGAAACTAAAGTGTCCAAAATCAGGGATCGAAATTGCGACGGTTTTGGTCGCATTTGCGCCCAAAATTTTATGCAACCTCAAAATATTTTGGGAGCATTTGTGCGAGTGCATAAAATTGTTGTTGTGCGGCCAGTTTTCACAGCAAAATGTTCACCACATGCGCAGATTTAGGAGGCATTCACGCATTAATCATCTTTGCACCTAAAACCACCAAACGCAGGCCTCAGGAAAGGTTTAAAACAGTTGACATGTCAACTTGACGACAGGTCCTTCCATTTTATGTCCCAATCCTCCTATGCAGTATTAAGTAACTCCGCAATGTTAGTTGAGGTAGACGGAAGCTTGTTGATATTATCCAGTGTAGTTTGCCTTGAATCAGGAGGTTTCGGTTGAGGTCACAGTGCCGCAAATTCATCTGCGTGGTGGCTTGTTAAGTGATAACGCAAGTTCGTGGTGTTTCTTGAACATTTTAAGATAGATTTGCAAAGCTTGCAAATGGCATTTATTGTCTAATTCAGTACTCTGGTATAGTGTTAAAACCAAAGTGCAGCCACACGTCAGCTTTAAAAAGCTGGAGGCGCCTTTACATTTTCCACCATGCTCACCCTTGTTTACTTCTGATACCGTACTACTTAGCGTTTTGTTAGTAGCGAGTTAGCGACATCCACATGGTGCAGAGTAGGATGCTGTTTGGCACAACTTGCATCGATACATCAGGTTGGACTATTGATACACTATTGTGAAAGAAATTATGGCGATAGTTAGATATTTCGATCTTTTTGCACAGCCCTATATAATATATGCATATTTGATTATATATTTTTTTTAAATATTCATTTTTATTAGTTCACAGTTTAAAATTTTTTAAAAAGACATATTTATATGCACAATATATGGGCTGGACAATATATCGTTTTAGCATCGGTATCTCAACGTGATCCTATGCAATAGTTACATGGCGAGTATATGCAACGTTGAGTCTGGATTATCTTAGATCATTTTGCTGTGTTTTTGAGGCCTGAGACTGTGTGTGGGTCTTTAAAGCATTCAGGTATAAGAAATTGTACAGTTTGTAACTTTGATGAATTAAAAACAAATAATTGTATAGAGTTGTTTTTCAAACGAAGACTATGAAAACTATTATTTTACATTTGACTACTAAATTGCTGTATACCTGAATACAGATCAACTCCTCTGAAAGCAATAAAATGCTGTTTATTTAATTGGCATTTATTTAATTTATCTGTGATTGTAGATTGCTTGTTATATTTTATGCATATACCCTACAAAATCATCCCAAGCAAATCTGAAATTATAAATTGTTTCCAAATAGTTATTTAACACATCTAGTGAAATTGTATTCCTATCGCAATATATTTCAGAATAAAAAACATTGCAATGTTAGACTTTTCCAATATTGTGCAGCCCTAATATATACATATCTATATATACAGTTGAAGTCAGAATAATTCGCCCCCTTTATATTTTTTCCCTTTTTTAAATATTTCCCAAATGATGTTTAACAAATTCAGGAAATTTTCACAGTATGTCTGATAATATTTTTTCTTCTGGAGAAAGTCTTATTTGTTTATTTCGGCTAGAATAAAAGTAGTTTTTAATTTTTTAAAAACCCTTTTAAGGTCAATATTATTAGCCCCTTTGAGCTATATATTTTTTCTATAGTCTACAGAACAAACCATCATTATACAATAACTTGCTTAAATACCCTAACCTGCCTAGTCAACTGTGTTTTCAGTGGTGTAGTGTGGACAGAGGTATTTTCAGAAATGTTAGATGAAATGCTAATGTGGACGTGGATCGTTTAAATTCTAAAATGCCATTTTAAAACTAAAATGCATTAGTGTAAATGTATTAGCCTAAACTGAAAGAAAATGAATCAATGAATGCATACAAGGTGATACAAATCCCATAATATAATCTGTCAGCCTTGTGCATGTGTTTTTGTGCATGGAGACAATGTAAGTGAAATAAAGTTGATCATAAGAGAGAGAGAGAGAGAGAGAGAGAGAGAGAGGAAAGAAAGAAAGAAAAATCACAGAAGCAGATCCTCACTTGGGACTTCAGACACAGAAGTAAGTAAAAATTAAAGTTAATCAAAATCTGGGTCTGTCTGCCGCATTCCCATGGTGCCTCCACAGCTCACAGATTACTGCAAACGCCGTTCTCCAACAGTGGTGAACGTGAAGGGGAAACTTGGGTACTTGAGGTAAATTGGGCACATGCACTCATCAAACCGCAACAGCAGTACATTTGTACAACACACAGCCTGACAAAGAGTTGAACTGTTCAGGTGACTGAGAGAGAAGCAGATACAACAGCCAGCCATTACAAAGAACAAAGAGCGGTCTTTGACTAGACAGATAAGAAAAAAGGAAGAACAAGATCCTTATTTAACTTCATGCTGATTAAAATGTCCTCCTCAAGGGTCTAGACGCTTATTTGAAGAACTACTCTGTTTGAATCCTCAATGATGGCACATTTATAAAACCTAAATGAGGGATTTCTTTAACACTTTCAGGATGCATAGCTTGCAATTTGAAACAACCAATTAAGTCGTAAAGATATAGCACAATTAAAATTATAATTCCGTCATCGTTTCCTCATCCTACACTAGTTCCAAACCTGTCTGAGTTTCTGTCTTTCATGACATTGTTTTCCTATTATAATGGCTAATGGCAAAGTCCCTTTAAGGCAAGCCATTTCACTCGGTGGCCATCTTTCATAGCTCTCTCAGGCAGTATGTTCAGGCATTCTGTCTGAATGGGGAAACACCACATTCTCCAAAACTGTTAGCCAACCTTATGATTACATTACATATTTATAATAACAAATACAATTCAGCAAAAACTGTCTCATAAGTTTTGTTTCTAAACAATCAAGTCAAACAAAATCTGCATATTTTTGGTTTGCCCGAGCTAATGCAAATGCGCACTCAAATTTTACAGGAATTTTACTGCCAAATGAATCTAGAATTTGTCATTTCGACAACCCGAGCAAAATGGAACTTTGAGAAAACTTACCGATCTTCTGGTTGAAGATTTTGTCAAACGCCAGTTCATCCCTTTCCTCCAGATACTTCTGCATGACACTTCGAATACTGCAGGGAAATAGGAAACAAACAAAGATACAACTTTAGTTCAAAACTTTACATAAAAACCCATTAACACACCAGCATTTGACGCCTTTGCATGGAGTGGTGTGGTTCGGTATAGTGCAGTACTGTATGCTAGTGTTTTCATAATACTGAAATTTGATACCAATCCGTATTGAAATTTTACAAATGTCTATTTGCCGCTAACGTTTGAGCGTGTTCTTAAACAGCGCTGATTGGCCATTGTGTTCACGTGCTCAACAGAAATGACTGTAATTGGCTGTGAAGGTCATCAGTTCACCGAACTGAGTGTAAACACAGATACAGGGACACTGGAGCATTTTTAAGCCGTGAAGATCTGTCGAATCATCAGCGGATCACTCATATGTAGACCCACACGGAATTTGCGCACGCAAGATTCTGCAGATTTCTGAAGATTTTTAGCCCATTATTAATTCTATTTATTTACTTGAGTAAATGTGTAAATATTAATTTATTCAGTTTTTATTCAGTAAATTTTTTTTTTAAACTTTTTATTTAATATATTACGGTTTTAGTTATGATACTCCGCTGGATACTCCCAAGATAATTCCACAGAAATCTGCAGATTTTTACCAAAATTCTCCGCAGAAATAGCAAAAAACGTCCGCAGATTCCGTCTGGTCCTGCTCATATGTCAGCTCATAAACAGACCAGCTGATGTTCGTGGCTTTAAAATGCTCCAGTGTCGCTGTATCCGTGTTTACACTCAATAAACAGCGGTGAATCCGGTGATTACACTGGATTCACGACCAAACGCAGTCATTTCTGGTGAGCAAAATTGCAAATCAGCACTGTTTAAGCACATGCTCAACAGCGCTCAAATGTAAGCGGGAAATGGACTTTTTTTTATTTCAATACTGATTGGTATCAAATTCCAGAATCATGACAACCCTACCATATGCATTTATTTCCACTGTCAGAAGTATCAAAACTGTGTACTCTAACGTACCACTTTCGTAAGGGTGTCTAGAACAAAAGTACGGTACCAAAATAGCGGAGCTAGACTGCAGGATGCTGATTGGTTTACAGAGAATGAAGATAGAATCTGCTTTATGTCCTCTTATGTTGTTTTTGTATCGCAAAAGATGCTATACATCCTGTAGATAGATACACTATGTATATCCTGTATGGGTTTCTTTGAGTGTGAATGACGTCAATTGCAACTTTCTGGTAATTGTCAGGGATGTTATATCAACACCAAAACATAACCTGAAAATCTAATATAGCCTCTATTTAACTTGATGAAAACATTTGGTATTCTGCCCTTCTGAAAACACCATTAGATCACAATACAGCATGCCATCTTTACTTTACATGTCATGTAAATTTAATTCAATAAATCATTAACAGCAGACATGCAGAAAACAGTTCAAGTCCAGTCTCTACTAAAAGAGCATCTTCCCTTGTATGTTCCCTTTATAGTGCATTGTTAGATAGATTTTACATTCAATTATCTGTAGCCCTGCCACGTTTGTTTTCTGACAGCAATCACTCGCTCCACATTATGATTGAGAGCTGAGTGACCTCTGAGTGACAGCATTTATTTTTCTTTTATACCATTGCATGGGATTTCTTTGTTTTTAATTGAGGAAATAAGGGAGGGAAAGGGAGAAGGCAAAAGAAGGGGGAAATAAAAAGAAATATGAACACCGACACAGAAGATAGGTTAGATGCGGTATGTGTTGGGCATGCATGCTTTTTTCTCTCCCCATTGCATTACATCATCATTATTGTTAGTTATATAATATCATCATTGTCATGTTCATTAATATTGATAGCACTGTTGCAGTCAATCATCACAGAACATTACATCCATCATCACAGCTATATTATTATTATAATGGCTGTGAATGCTAAATACTAAATAATTTAATACTTGAAATACTACCAATATTATTCTGATTGTCCCTGCTGTTTATACAGATTGCTATACACACTGTGTTTACCTTATGTTGTGTTTTGCACTCCAAATATTATTAATAACAGTAATAAATGCCAGCGTTGTATTCGCCTGATGAAGCACTTTTATTAATATAGGTCAACTATGCCTTAAAAAATAAAAAAGGTATTGTATGCATGCTTGTTTTCTTCACACAATGATTAAAAACCAACAGACTGATGAAAATGCATGTTATTTTCTCTATATGTAACGTAAAGCAGGACAAAGGGAGAAAATGCTGTGCTGCACAACACTAAGCGGGACGGGTGCACACAAATGACCTCCCCTGCTGCCCTTCCACCTCAATCCCGGCCTTAGTTTCTGTCTCTCCACAAGCACCTGCTCAATTCTCCGCTCGCCGCTTCCCAAAGGAGGCACTGCCGATGCCCTGGGAGAGGGTGTTAATGAGCGGCAAGTTTGGGAGACTGAATCAATTAGCACCCCCTCCGAGGGCTCATTATCACCCATGCACAGCCCAACAGAGTCAGCGCAGGTCAGGAGAGATAGAGGTTCCCCAAACATGCTCCTGCAGTCCTAGACCAGACACTCCTGCTGAGACTGACCTGACACGTTACGGCCAATAGACAGGGCTGAAATCAGGACTGCTATTATGAACAAGGCTGTGTGTATACTGCATGTGTAGATGCAGGTGTGTTTTATTAGTGCTGGGCAAAGATTGATCACATCCGATATAAAAGTTTGTTTTGACATACTGTGTGCATTATACAGCTGAAGTCAGAATTATTAAACCCCCTTTGAATTTTTTCTTCTTTTTTAAATGTTTCCCAAATGATGTTTAACAGAGCAAAGACATTTTTACAGTATGTCTCATAATATTTTTCTTCTGGAGAAAGTCTTATTTGCTTTATTTCGGCTAGAATAAAAGCAGTTTTAATTTTTTAAACACAATTTTAAGGACAATATCATTAGCCCCTTTAAGCTTTTTTTGTAAGCTTTTTTTTTGATAGTCTACAAAACAAACCATCACTATTCAATAACTTGCCTAATTACCCTAACCTGCCTAGCTACCCTTATTACCCTAGTTAAGCCTTTAAATGACACTTTAAGCTGTATAGCAAATAAATAAATAAATAATAAAATAATAAAATAAATAAATAATAAATCAGTTTTTAGAGATGAGTTATTAAAACTATTCTGTTTACAAATGAGCTGTAAAAATCTGCTCTCTGTAAAGCAGAAATTAGAGAAAAAAATAAACAGGGAAGGTAATAATTTAGGGGGGCTAATAATTCTGTCTTTAACTGTATATACCGATACATTTATTATGTATATGTGATAAAAACAAATCAATTTTGTTATGTAGACATTTAAGTAAATATATTTTGTATCATATGAATACATATTTTATATCAAAACATGTAACACAAAAATATATTAGAAAGAATAACGTTCTCAAAAAAAATGCATACATGTGTGTATTTAAAGACACATGATAAATATACACAGTAGACACACACACACACACACACACACACACACACACACATATATATTGTAAAAACAACTTTTTTTGGTGCGATTAAAAACTGAATTTGCTGCAGTAGGTGAACTGCGTGAATCTTTTCTTCATTTAATAAATGATTTGCACTTCAGAAGACAATCCTGACACGCAGTGAAAGCGCAGTGGCGTTTGAAGGCGTGAGACGCGGAGCACAGACGCTCTTGATTCTGGAGGTCATTAATAATATAATAACACTAATACTGAAACGGTTAAGGCATTTTATAATGTCCAAAAACAACATTTCAGATGGTTTACAATGTGCTCAGCCTGCTGGTTTATCCATTCACACACACATTTTTATCATCACATGATCTCTTATTACAAAATCACATGGCCTTTTTTAATGTGCATACTGGATTTGTTTCGGAAAAAGTGTTTCTATCATAGTTTATGCGCATCTTTTCTTATAGAATTAAAAGTTTGACCTACTCACTTATGTGCATACGTTTTTATGCATATTTTCAAAATTTATGCACATCTTGACATTTTCATCAATCGTTGTTATGCGCATATCTAAAATGCGCATAAAAGAGATGGATGGAAACGTAGCTAATGGTTTCAAGTTCAGCTTTCTTCAAATAATCTACTTTTGTGTTAAACGTAATTTAAAAACAACAACAACAAAGGTTTTGAACCACTTGTGGATAAGTAAATAGTGAATACATTTTCCTTTTTAGGTGAACTACTCCTTTAATTCAATTAGAAAATAGTCATTAATTGTTAGTTCTGGATTACTAACAGTGCATTAACTAATAGTGAAAACCAGCAAACATGTGGCGACACTTCATATTAAAACACCACTAAAGGTATAGTTTAGCCAAGAATGAAAACATACTCACTGTTTATTCATCCTCCATAGCAATAAACTGCAGAACAGAAAATAAATTACTCTGAAAAAAGCTGAAAACTTGTAACCATCTACACTAGGAAAAACAAATCTATATGGATAATATGGAGGACACCGGTTTCCAGTTTTTTCCAAAACATCTTTGTGTTTAACAGAGAAAACTCAAACAGGTTTGGAACAAGTGAAGGATGACAGAATATCTTAATTAGATATTAAGACACTCGGTAACAGTGTGAATTGCTACTTAAAGTGGTACTAAGCTTGGAATTAATTTTATTAAAGCGTTAGTAAATGTTGAACTATGATTAATACATGCTGTTCGAGTAGTATTGTATGTTCATGTTAGTAAATACAAGTGACTTATATTAACTAATGGAACCTCGCTCTAAAGTGTGACCTTTATATGTGGGCATTTAGATCTGTAAAGACATTATGTTGAAAAGTTCTGATTCATTTAAACGAATCAAAACAAATTATCTGTACCAGCGAATCAATTGATGTCTCTTCAATGATTGGGCTTGATTTGCATTAGTGGAAATGTTAGTATGCTATTTTAAAATGAAAAAAGTTTGTTGTCAATAAGATTGAATTTTTTTGAAGAAATGAATGCTTTTATTCAGGGAGGAAGAATTTACACTTATCAAAACTGACATTAA